GGTGCGCCGCGTCGTGCGCCTGCGCCGCGTCGTGCGCGTGCGCCGCGTCCTGCGCGTGCGCCGCGTCGTGCGTCGAGCCGGAGGGAACCGGAGCCTTGTTTGGGTAGCAAATCTCCACTTGTTGACGAGGCCTTATTGCGCATGGCCCGTGTTGAAAGCAAACCACATACCTGGCTGTGTGTCTGGGTGTGCGTTTGAGTCACCTGCAGTGTTGACATTTTTCGTTTGATGACTCTGCTTGTCGTGTTCTGCAGCTCCGCATACCATTGCGAACACGCTTTTTGCACATGTTGTGCTGCACGTTCAAGAGTTGACCCTCAAGCTTTCCAGTTGGTCAGCCAACAGTTGAGGGCCACCTCTGCTTGTTTGTCTCAGAATTTTGCCGTGCCATGGCTGAGCTTGACGTGGACGAAGCCTTGCGGGTCGGTTGGCAACAGCTGGCTGCGCCTGTCCCAAACATGGCGTGGGAAAGTGGCATCGTGGGTGTGGCTCTTGGGAAGATCACCATGACGGAGTTCGTCGTGCCAGGCCTTTCAGTCACATTCCAGCGACCAGTGGCGCATGCCCTGCCTGGCGTGGACTCAGTGGCGTGTGCCTCTGCTCATGTCTGCGGTGCAATCCAAGTGAGCAAGCGCAGACGGGTCGTGTCGGAAATCTACCAAAAGTGCGTACGGGCAGGGCGCCCCACTGTTGGTGAAGACGATGCCCGCAGAGACACGGCCATCCAGCAATGGGCTGTCGCTCTACTCACCGCTCCGGACTCTTCCGACGTCGGGCGTGCCGCGGTTCTGGATGCAGCGTCGGCAAATTCCGACGATGTTCTGGGCTTCGCGTGTGTCATAGTCAGTGACATCGTTGCCATGAAGTCGACCTCCACGCTGGTAAAACGTGTGGGAGCCATCAGGCGTTTCCTGCAGTGGTGCGAGACCGGCGAAGCAACTGCGCTGCCGTTCCACGAGGGCACCTTGTATGTCTATGTGAGGCATCTCTGGGACATTCAGGCTGCGCCCTCCAGCGGGCAGTCTTTTGTTGAGGCAGTGCGTTTCGCGGCGGCGTTGTTTGGCATTGTGAGTGCGCAGGGCAGCAGTTTTGGGTGTCTCAGCAAGCGCGTCTGTGGAGTCTCAGCCAGGTTGGCTGCAAGTGGTGGCGCGATTAAGCAGGCCCCTCCGCTCACTGCGGATCAGATCATCATGTTGGAACGTGTTGCTGTGCGATCGACATCCAGCCAAGATAGGCTGCTTGCAGGCTCCCTTCTGATCCTGCTCTACGGTCGCTGCCGGTTTGGTGATGGACAGCGTGCTACTTCGTTTCTGATTGACCTAGCGCCCGGCGCTAAAGAAGGTTTTGTCGAGTTCGCGGTTCGCCACTTCAAGACGGCCGTGGGCGTGAAGAAGAAGAGGATGCTGTTGCCAGTTGTGGTGCCAATCTTCTCTTTGTCAGGCGAATCGTGGTTCAGCGCATGGCTTGATGCCCGTGCAGACCTGGGTCTTTCGCGTGAAGGCACACTGGTCGTGCCATTGCTGCCATGCTTCGACTCCACCGGGCGGCCCACGTCTGCTGCGTTGTCCTCAAGTGAGGGAGGCGCCGTCCTGAGAACTTTCATCGGGGGGCTCGGTGAGGGTTCCCAGCGTGTTACATCCCACTCATTGAAAACCACACTGCTCTCATGGACTGCGAAGTACGGGCTTCAGTTACCAGTTCGCAGAATTCTTGGCTATCACCTGGATCCTGCTGCAGCCACCACTGAGACGTATGCGCGGGACGCGATGGCTGCACCGTTGCGCGAGCTGGTGGTCGTCCTGCAAAAGGTGCAGTGTGGTGCTTTTCGGCCAGATGAAACACGGAGTGGGATGTTTTGCGCGACTGGCCCTGTGCCCAGCGCAGGCTGTCAGGGCTTTGTGGATACATCGCTGTCGCGTGATGCTGAGCTGACGGATGACTCCGACACTGATGCGGCATCCAAGGGGTCCAGTCGCAGCGCTGATTCGGACAGCGAACCCGAGACCCTGGATGACGATGCGCCTCTTTTTCAGCTCGTTCCTGCCCGACTTCGACCTCAGCTATTGTGTGCTGCGTCTGGGCGAAAGCTTTTTCGCAACAAGTATTCTGGCGTTTTCCACATTCAGGCCGACGGGGAGCGCCTTGTGTGTGGTCGATGCGTTACTGACAACTTTGCTGAGTTCGCAAGCACGTCTGCTAAGTCGGTCAAGTGCAAGGTGTGTTTTGTAGAGTCCAGAGACATCGTCGAAGCACGGATGTCTGCGTAATTTAGGTCTTGGGTTTGCGGCCAAAGATTTCTTCGTGCACTTGCTCGCGTAGCATGCCTTGAGTGTGCCAGAGGTGTTCTGGCGCGGCTGAAATTTCATCTCCTCTATTTGTGTGAGCATTTCAGGGATGTCCTGGTGCCTTGTGCGACAGGTCTAGGGATGTCCTAGACCAGTCGAGGTGACATGAGCGCTTGTGTGTGCGTGGATCAGGGGTGTCCTGATCCGGTGCCATGTTGCCATGTTGCCGGTGAACCAGGGATGTCCTGGTTAGTTTTTCTTTTGTCAGGGATGTCCTGACCAGGCCCTGGTGCCTGTCGCTCCGCTTTTACCGTGGAGTCACCTTGCTCAAGAGCGTGAGTTACAGTGTTGCGGTTGTTACGGGTCTTTGCCATGACTAGCCTCATTGACAGCACGGCCGCGTTCAATCATCGCCTTCAGGAGCTTCGGTTCTCCAAGGAGGAGAGTGAGGCACTGCGCAAGCAGGACATCAGGACCTTCGGCGAGCTTGCGTTTGCGGCTTCTTCTCAGCCGGGGCAAATCGACGACAGCATGTTCTCTGACCTCGTCAAGACTTGCTTCGGCGTGGAAGATGCCAGCGCCGCTAGCCTGGGCCTGCGGAGCAAGTTGAGGCGTGTGGTTTTTGAGGCGATCACCTTCACAGTCCAGAGCATCTCGCAGCGTGCCACCGGCACAGCAGAGGACGGTGGCGCATGCAAGATGCCCCCGCAGGAGCGAGACCGACGACTTTGCGACCAGCGCAAGAGGTTGTCTGGACTGCTCGTCAAGCATGCCACAGAACCAGCGCACATGCTCGTGGACAAGTTCGTGAAGATGGCGCACGAGGCCTGCTTATGCTACGTGCCTTTGAGTGCCTGCGTGAGCCGCGAGGACGAGATGAGCTGCGCCAAAACCGACAAGAAGTTATTGTCCTTGGAGCACAACAAGATCGTGTTCAAGGCAAAGGAGCCTACGGTGCATGTCGACCTGGGCTCGGAAATGCGGGTACACCAAGCTCTGCTCCGCCGTGCATTAGCAGCTGACCAGGCAGGGTTGATCTCCTTCAAAGTGTTGGATTCCATTCACCAGGACCTCCTATCACACCTCAGCCGTCCTGCGCCGCCTGGTTTTGATTCGCCAAGCATTCAGAGTCTCCTGCGAGCGGACCAGCAGTTGTGGAAGCTTGTTGCAGATAGCGTTGGGTCCAACATCCAGCAGTGCGAGTCAGGTGAGAAGCCTCTTGACAAGGCGTTCAAGGAGTTCTGCCATGATGCCACTGTTGTCTTCCACTTGCTACCGACTCCCAGCGCGCCGAAGATCCGCAAGGACCCCAAGAAGCGACAGGTGGATGAAGGCGAGGCTGAGCGTGCCGAGGTACCGAATGGCAAGAAGCGCAGGGATGACAAGGGAGCCGTGCGCATGCCCAAAGCGTTGCAGGGCCTCCCGGCCAAGAGCAAGAGCGGGGTGCCTTTCTGCTTCAATTTCAATCTAGAGCATGGCTGTGATGAGGAGGTTTCCGGAGACCCGTGTCGATGCCGTCGTGGCCTCCATCTCTGCATGAAGTGCTTCAAGCCGCATGGGCAGCACAAGTGCAATGTTGCGTGAAAACCCACCGGGCCTACTGCTCCCGTGCGGGACCCTTCTGCGCAAGCAGTGATGGCGCCGGCAATGCCTTGCTCACTGCGGACGGTGTGTGTCGAGTTCTCCTCCAATGCGCAGGCGCGTCTGGCAGGGCACCTGAGATTGCGGGACTTCCACGTGTTGCACATGCGTCACTCGGCCAGTTTGCAGAAACGGAGTTCTTACGTTAATTTGTTTCTTAAGTCTCAAAGGGCTTTGGCTGCAGACTTGTTGCGGTGCTCCTCCGTGCTCTACGTGGTCTTCGTGCTCCCGGACCTTTGCGATGAATGTGGCATTGTTCTGGAGTGGGTTTGCAATCAGTGCGTGGAGCTATCCAAGAGGCGCGTCTCGTGGACCTTAGTTGACCGTGCCGATGGCGCGTTCTGGAGCAGAGTGTATGGCTTGCTGCAGTCCTCTGGCGTTGATTTTCACACCACATCGTTCCAGATTCGATCCACAGGCTCTAAGACGCCGTCAAATGTGGCTCTCTGGTCCAGCGGTCCTGAGCTATCCCAGCTGAGGCCCGTATACGACTGTGGAGCCTGGAGGCCAGAACGTGGCATTCTGTATCTCCCTCCTACTGTGTGTCAACACTGGTCCTTCATCATTGAGGACTTGGCCCGTGCGCGGGGGTGCGTTCTTTCTGCTGCGAGCATTGCACAGCTTCGAGACTGGAGCAACCGCGCCGCTCTTGGGGACCAACCGCGCGGTGGGCGTGTGCCACCACTACTCACGGACTTCCTGGCGCCAAGGAAGTACCGCCTCAGCCAGTGCCCTGCGTTGAAGGGAATCTTGCCAGGCGGGCGCGTGCCAGATCATTTGCCTTTTCCAAAGGGCTCGAGGGTCCTTCGAGTGTCACCCACAGACGCTGATGGTGGGAGTTTCGTGATGCTTGGCCTTCCACGAGACCCGCTCGACTACATCCAAGAAGCCTCTCAACTGGTGCATCCTATGGAGCGTAGCGGACATGTCGCTGAGGGCGTCCAGGCTGCCATCGATAAACATGTGCAAGAGTCGGCGGAGGCACTGCGTCGTGACAGGGCCAGCTTCTTTTCCGGGGCGCTACAGTCGATCCGGAACCTGCGTGTCGATGAGGACCGTCTGCACTCCAACATGCCGGAGCACTTGGCCAAAGTCATGCAAGGCAAACGCGTCCTGTTTCTCGGCGAGCTTTTGCAGAAAATCCAGCATCCTGACAAGTCCCTGATTCAACATCTGAGTCAAGGTTTCCCTTTGCTTGGTTGGTTAGAGCCTTCTGGAGTTTTTGCGCCGTCCCTAAAACCACCTGCCCTGCGTTCGGACGAGCTGGAGCGGATGGCCCCAGAGATGAACGAGAGCACATGCAGCTCCTGCGTCCAATCCCGTCGCCCAGATGTTGACCGTGCATTGTGGGAGTCCACTTTGGAAGAGGTTGCAAAGGGATGGGCGGATGGGCCATACGACCTGGATGGAGCCAAGCAAACATCGGGGGGAAAGCTTGTGGTGTCTCGTCGCTTCGCTGTCGTTCAGAAGGACAAGATACGGGCGATTGATGATTTCTCTGCCAGTCACATCAATCTCTCCACAGGCTTGCGAGAAAAGGTGCGCGTAGAGTCGGTGGATGCGGCCGCTGCAATGATCCGCCAGTGGATGTTGGCGCTGAAGGGCACCGGGCGGAGACTTGTGGGCAAGTCCTTCGACCTCAAGTCGGCGTACCGACAGATTGGGGTTTGCAAGGAGCACCTTTTCGCGTCCTGGGTTTGTCTCTACAACCCAGAGACTGGGGCGCCCGCGCTGTTTCGCCTGCACGCCCTTCCTTTTGGAGCCTCGGCGTCTGTCCCAGACTTCCTGCGGTGCGCCGAAGCCATTAAATGCGCGGGCGCACGCTGCATCTTCTTGTCCTGGACGAGTTTCTTCGATGACTTCATCTGCGTATGCCCAGAAGACTGTGCAGAAGAGACAGACAAGGCCACCCGGGTGTTCTTCGAGCTCCTCGGTTGGCAGCTGGCGCTGGAGCCGAAGAAAAACAAACCGTTTGCCTCCAAGTTCCAGGCCCTGGGTGTTGAGTTCGACCTCACGAATGCGGCAGATGGCGTCCTCCGCATCTCCAACACCGAGTCGCGCAAGGAGGAGCTTGGCCGTGCCATTGATGACGTTTTGAGCAGTGGCAGGCTGTCCTTCAAAACAGCTACTTCACTGCGATCGCGCATGCTGTTTGCAGAGTCCCAGATCTTTGGGCGCTTCGCCAAGAAGGCCATCAACTTGCTGGGCAAGCATGCTGATAACGCCCACAATGTCCTGGATGTAGATAGGGAGCTACGGGCAGCTTTGGAGTGGCTCCGGAACAGGGTGGTCTATGGCAGTCCAAGGGAAGTGTCAGTCGCCAAGAGGAAGACCTTTCTGTTGTTTCTGGATGGTGCCTGCGACAATGAGTCTCCCAGCCTGCAGTCTTCAGTGGGCGGGGTGCTCATCGACAAGGAAGCAGGCCCCCAGAGCTCTTTTGGCGAGATTGTGCCGAATGAGGCAGTCAGTGCTTGGAAGACGAAGGTACCCAAGGGTGCAAAGCAGCTCAACTTCGAAGCAGAGGTCATGCCGTATGTGGTGGCGCTGAAGTGCTGGGCCGATGTGCTTCGAGGTGCATTGCTGCTGATTTTCATTGACAATGATGCGGCGCGCCATGCTTGGGTCTCAGCGTCAGCCCATTCGCTTCACGCAAGCAACATGATTCATCATGCCCTCGCAGTTGAGGCCGATCTAGGGGTGGATGCCTACTTCTGCCGGGTCCCCACGCACTCCAACATCGCCGATGCCCCGTCGCGACTTGACTTCAGTGTGTGCGAATCAATCGGTGCAACGAGGATGAGGGTCTCTGAAAGGCATTTGCTCAGCTGCGCTGGAATGACGAGTGATGTAGTTGGGGGTTTGTGTGTTTGTCCCCAGCACTGAGTGTCATTGCAGCTTCACATGCAAAGCATGTTCCTTTCGGATCTGCCCGACTCTATCGGCCTCGTGGCTGGAAAAGAAAGTCCGACGCGTGCGAGGGTTCCAGTCTGTGCATGGCTAGCTGCGCTAGTTGCATGGCCTTGGCTTGCAGGTGTTCTACACGCGGGTATTGCAATAAGCAAATCTCCACTTGTTGACGAGGCCTTATTGCGCATGGCCCGTGTTGAAAGCAAACCACATACCTGGCTGTGTGTCTGGGTGTGCGTTTGAGTCACCTGCAGTGTTGACATTTTTCGTTTGATGACTCTGCTTGTCGTGTTCTGCAGCTCCGCATACCATTGCGAACACGCTTTTTGCACATGTTGTGCTGCACGTTCAAGAGTTGACCCTCAAGCTTTCCAGTTGGTCAGCCAACAGTTGAGGGCCACCTCTGCTTGTTTGTCTCAGAATTTTGCCCCGCCCTCCCGCCGCAAAGAGGGTTGTGGGTTAACTTTTGTGTGCCAGGGGGTTTGTGTGTTTGTCCCCAGCACTGAGTGTCATTGCAGCTTCACATGCAAAGCATGTTCCTTTCGGATCTGCCCGACTCTATCGGCCTCGTGGCTGGAAAAGAAAGTCCGACGCGTGCGAGGGTTCCAGTCTGTGCATGGCTAGCTGCGCTAGTTGCATGGCCTTGGCTTGCAGGTGTTCTACACGCGGGTATTGCAATAAGGTTGTCTCTTTATGTTTATGCTTGAAGCTGTGTGGCTGAAGCATGCTGAAGATTGCTGAAGCACAGTGATCTTTGTTTGGCCGGTGTGTAACGGTGTGTAGACCGGGAGCAGAGTGTCTGGGACCCAAAATAGACCCGGTTCGACAAAATCGTGGAGAAGATAGATTCCATGGGAATAGGTCTATTCCCATGAATTCGGCAACGCGTTTGGGCAAAAATGTTTAAACCTATCTAAGTCAAAATCAGACTACGACATTTCTGGGGATCTGTCTATTGAGTCTATTCCTACTTTTTAGGCAGGCGGGAAATGAAGCGGAAAACAATTTGCCGAAAACGAAACAATCTATAGATTTCTTGAAACCCTGATTTGCCGAAATCGGCAAAACTTGCCGAATTCGGCAAACCGTCGGAAAGACAAACTGCCAACAAACTGCCGCCAAACTGCCTGGCGAAACTGCCGCACTGATTTTCTTGCTGTTTTGTATATGAAAAGTCGAACTTCTTGCTTTTCTTGTGCGTGTGAGAAGATTTTGTGTCGCATACATCTTGTTTGACATGCGCAAAATCAAGCGGCAGTTTCCCGCAAACTGCCACTGTCCTCCCTTGAAACTGCCAACCAACTGCCAAGGGTCTGGCGCCGACGGCAAAGGAAAGTGCGAGGAAGTTTCCACGAAACTTCCTCGCAGTTTTGGTTGTTGTTCTTGCCCAAAAATTTGCCGAAATCATAGAAATCTATCTATTTCCAAACTCAAAAACTATCTATTCTTAAGTTTTCGGCAACTCCATGTTTTGGCTAAATTCTCTAAAAATCGGTGTAACAGATTTTGCCGGAATCGGCAAAACTTGATTTGCCGAATTCGGCAGATTTTTCCCGTAGTTAAAAACTTGACTAATAGTCACGATTTTGTCTAACCGGGTCTTGGGGAGCCGCCCTGATTTTCGATCTCCCGCCCGCCCTTGCCCGATCAAAAATCTGGGCAGGGGTCACTGTTTGTGTCAGCGACAGGCTGATGGGGGGATACATTTCTGTCAGCGTGCGGCTGATGCATCGTTTGTCAGCTCTTCAGCTGATGTTACATGTTGGCTAAGCAGGGCTTTTAGCATCTTTTAGCCATGCGGTCAGTGTAGATTCTGGCTGTTTCTACCACCACCTTTCAAAAAGAGAGAGCGTTGCGTGCTGGGCTAAGGGTGTCTGTTGTGTTCAGGCTCCGGATTCGGTAGTTGTATCATTTGCTGTACGCGGACGATGGCCTGCTGCTTCCCTCCGGCCGAGATTTCTGGCGACGGGCCTTATTCTGGCTTTACGTCCTGGAGCTCTTCGAGGTTCCCTTGTCGTGGCGGAAAGTGGCGGGCGGCACCTCGCTTTGCTGGATTGGCTACCAGCTTGACGTGTTCAAGTTCGAGAAGGGCATCGGGCCAGGCAAGGTGCAGTTGCTCGGGCGCTGGATTGGCGAACGCTTGAGCGAGGGATGTGTGCAGGGCTGTGTTGGTGTTCCCGGTTCGGTTGGGTTTGGCAGAACACCGGCCCTCTCTCCACACCTACTCCTCCATACAGTGTACATTGTATGTGTGCGTGCTCGAGTTGAGTTGAACAGCTGAGCCTGTGCACTGTCGGTTTGGTCACACTGCAGTCTTGTCTGCAGAGTTTGCCTTGCGTTTTCCCGCCCACCCACCCTGGTTGCTGAGCAGCTGGGTAGTGGGGCCGGGGCTTAGATGGGCCAGTTGGCTCTTGACTGTTGCCCGGCATTTCCTGCAAAAGGTTGGCGCGCCCCTCCCTTGTGTTGTGCATACGGGGTTCCGGAGAGTAGGTTTGGTGTAGAGGTCAGTTTCGGGCCGTGTTGGGCCGGTTGAGCTTCATAGCCGGTGCGCTGCCACATGTCCGTCCCTTTCTTGGCCCGCTCTTTGCTTGGTCCGCCCACTTGGACTCGGGATTGGTCCAGTTGCCGCTCAGTGTGCGCCTCATCCTCGGCTTCATTCGTATGGAAGTGGAAAAGGCGCCGATGACACCGCCAAAGCCGCTCACCATGTGCGTAGGGGAGGTCTTCGGAGTGGACGCTAAGGCTGAGGGCGATGTGATTGTGGTCGGTGGCTGGGAAAGTCTTGGCGGGACAAGTCCTCGGCACGCGCGTTGGTTTTCGAGGAGGCTGGATCGCCAATCCGCCCCCCTGGGCATATGCGAAAGGCGAGCCATTTTTTGTTTGGAGTTGGTGGGCACGCTCCTGGCTGTCTGTGCTTTTTGGCAAAGAGGCGATCTGGCAGGGGAAGGTTGCGTCCGCGGTATTGGGTGGGTTCACGGACAACCAAGGCAACTCGTTCGTGCGATAAGATGATGACGACGACCTCCTTTCCACTCTGCCTTGTGCTCATGGAGCTCTCCGTGCAGCTCTGCGGCATGGGGGCCGTGTTGCACTTGGGCTGGGTACCCCGCGAGCAGAACGTGGAGGCTGACGCGCTGACCAACGAGGACTTTTCTGCCTTTGACCTG